TGGGTCAGGAGCCTGGGAGAAACGTGACAGCAGCAACAGTGCTGGCCCCCTCTTGGCCCCAAGGCTCCTCAGGAGTGGCAGCAGGGGGTCGGTCCAGTTTGCGAAGTGTGCGGGGTGTCGACACTGAGGTCTGGCCAAGGGAAGGACTGACTGACTCCGACGGCTCTGGCATCGGACAACGCTCGGGAGACCAATCCGGGGAGATATCTCCAGGGCCTGCTGCATAACCCTCAGAAATCAGCCACAACCTACAGAGGACAAGAAGAAAAGGAGTCTGAACCCAGAGCCGAGGTGAGGAAGCAGGACCCAAAGAGATGGTTCTGCATCATAAACTCAAGGCAAACATGGGATGGTGAGATCCAGGACAGTCTGCTGAGATACTGTCTCAAAAGGAAAAAAAAAGGGTAGACAGAGGGAAGGAGGGAGGGAAGAAGGAAGAATGGAGGGAGGAGAGGAAAAGACAGGCAAGGAGAGAAAGGGGTCAGCTCCGTGAAGGTGTGCAAAGTGGGGGGAACACGGCCTGAGGTGGGCCACACCTCATTCTGAATTACTAGTGTTCACCATGTGCCAAGTCCAGCTTCAGGTGCTCAAGAAAAGCATGAACAAAGCATGTTATTCCCAGAGTTTATGATCTATGGAGGAGAAAGAGCGCAAGCATGTAAACCACACAGCAGGACCAGGTACACAGTGTTTCATGCCTGTGATCCTGGCACTCAGGGCACTGACACAGGAGGATGATAAGTTTAAGATCAGCCTAGGCGACAGAGTGAGACCCCTTGTCCAAACAAAACAAAGCAAACCTCCCATGGCATGTTGCTGTTGAAGTCAGCGCAGTGAGGATGTGCTAACAGGAGAGGAAAGCGATACTGACGATCAGAGGCGAGGTGAGATATCAAATAAGATGGTGATCATGACCCCTCACAAAGATGGTAAGAACCGAACCAAGACTTGAAGGAGGTGAGAGATGAAGGCACACAGGAGGAAGAGTGCTCTCGACAGAGAGACTCTCGGATAGCACTTTCTCATCATGTGTAGGAACTAAAGAGGAGGCCTTCAGGGAGTGAGAGTGGAGATGTAGTTGGAGTTCCCAAGACAGACATTCCTGACCATCACTCAGAGCTGGGTAAGGGGTAGTCTTTGCAACAACTCTGTGGGTATGAGGCTGTTAGCCTCCATTGCACACACAAGCAATCAGTGGCTCAGAAAAGTCACTTAGTTTTGGTGATGGGACAGAATAAGAACAGGTAAAAGGATAGCTGTAAGTTCAAGGACAGCCTGGGCTACACACTGAGATTCAGGCAGCCTGGCCTCCAAAGTAAAATGCTATCTCATAAATAAATAAATAAACAAACAAACAAACAAACAAACAAACAAACAAAAAACTGGGCTCCATAGCATACCACTGTAACTGGGACACATGCCACCCCTAGTCAATTTGCATAGGGCCCAGAGTTCTGGATGATGGGTGGAGCCAGGGTCAGATGGCAGATTCAAGTCATATTAGGGAAGAGCAATGAACTAGGAATAAATCTTGGTAAATCTCTAAGACAGGAAAGAGGCAGAGGTAAGGAAGATGGTCATGGCAGACACAAACTCCCTCCCCAAAGCTCCATCCATCCCTCAGGCCCTGACAAGAGGACTCACCTCAGGCTCCGGTAGCTCCCTGCCTCTGTCTGCCCAGGGCTCCGTTCCTCAGGGAAGTCCCAGGAAGCGGCTTCTATTCCTTCTTCTTCCTCTTCCCCAGCTTCACCACATAGCTGCCTGGCCAGAAGAGGCACGAGGCCCAGAGCCTGTAGCTTGCCCAAGGCCCCAGTATCATAAAGGAAGCCTACAAGAGCAGCCACAACACGTGGATGCCAGGCACTGGCACCAGGGTCCTGCAGCAGGCCCATCAGCAGCTCCAAACCACCAGCGTCCCGCAGCCGGGCCCGGTTGATGGCTTCCCGGCACAAGAGACACACAGCCCGCACTAGGGGCTGCTGGGAAGCTGAGCTGGTCCCACTGGGACCCCGTCGCCGCCTTAGCTCACCTAGTAACACCTCCACACCACCAGCATTGCCCAGTGCGGGCCGCACTAGGCCCTGAGCACACAGATTGGCAAGGATCAGGATGGCCGCCTCACGTATTGCCCGTTTAGGGTGAGAAGCCAGGCTGACAAGTGGGCCCAGTCCCCCACCCAGACTTAGCTGCTCAGCACAGGCCCGGGAACAGCCTCGGCTGAGTTCCAAGAGAGCACGGACTAGGGCCGAGGTCAGTGCAGGGTCTGGGGCCGTGGCTAGGAGCTCAGCCAGTGGCCGAACTGCTCCCTGCTGTGCCAGGGCCAATCGGTGCTGGGGTGAGTCTGCCAGGTTGCGGAGGGCACGAACTATACTCTGTAGGCATTGTGAGTCCTGGCAGGCCGCCAGGCTCTCAACAAGAAAGGGCACAGCACCTGGAGAAGGAAGAGGAAGATACATGAGCAAGGGTAGCCATGTCAAGTCCTTCTGCAAGTCTCTGCTCACCCCACTCCCACAGCCTTCTCACCGGCAGAGTGGATGTCCCTGCAGTTCTCAGGTTCCATGGCTAAGTTCCCCAGAGCGCGAGCCGTCCGGTTCTGGATGCTGTCTGTCTTCACACATTGAAGAATGGTCACTGCAAGGACAGTTTGCCTTCTTGAGGACTCTACCCCTTATCTGTTTCTCATCGATCAGTTCAAGAATGTGGTAAATGTCTGGGGATGCAGGTCAGTGCTAGAGCCATCCCCAGCAACCCAAAGAGAGTGGGAGGGGGAAGAGGAAAGATAGGGGGGGACGTGATTTGAGAGGGTTGGGGAAGGTCTTCAGAAGATGCTAGGAGGTGAGCAAGAGCTGGAGGACTGAACGGATATTTGTCAGAAGGATGGTAAATGGAAAGGCTAGTGTCTCAGGTTTGGAAGCAGCTTTTCCAAATGCCTCAAAGTAATAGTGTCTGTTCTATGATTTCACAAAGCCCCTCAAATAACTGTCCAAGGAGTCAAAATTTAAATGTGAAGGCAACAGCAGCCACAAAAGGGTTTTAAGAAGGGCAGTGACATTATACACTCCAGCATCTGTAGTGGTGGGGTATTACAAGAGAAAGGAACGGGCCAGGGAGAATGGATGAAGCTGTCACAGTGGTCCAGGTAATCTGGCTTGAACCAAGTCAGCTTTCATCCCTGCCAATCCGAAGATAATCCTGCCCAGGACAGAAATGTGGAAGCAAGGTTAGAGAGAACCCGGTATTTACGAGGGCTGTTGTCAAGCCTCTGGTCAAACGCATTACTGTACAAGTGCATTCTATCCAAGTTCTAAATATATAAATGCTTCCACTTTAAAAAATAAGCTTTTGTCAAAACTGGCCAATGACACAGCTTTGTTCCCATCGTTGCCGTTAGGAGGCGCCAAATCAGCCGGTTCGCAGAAAGGCTTATCCTTTGCGGGAATTTGGTTACTGTGTGTTTTAAGTACCCAGCCTGTGCTTGGAGTCTGGGCATTCTGTATTTGAATTTCATTTTATGCCCACTTCAACCCTGTCGGGTAGCTACTGCTATTATTTTGAAGGGGTTGGGTGATTTGCCTGGTATTTCTAACTACACCACTTTCTAAGTCCATTCTCTGAACTTTCAAAACCACTTTCTGGCCTCCAGATCATCCACATGAAGCCTTGCACAGGGACGGACAGTCCGCTATAAACGCCAAAACTAGAAAGGACAAACCATTCGCTCAAAAGAGGCGGGAGCCAATACCTAGTCCTGATCGGGGCGGGTCCAGGTATAATTTATAGAGAGCAGTGACGTCACACAGCATGACACCTGAGGAGATGAGTGGCGCTGCACCATCACAAAGCACGCACTCAGAGACACGACCTAAAGAACTAACTAAGGATTGCACAGGTCCTGTGGGTGGAACTTTTCTGAGACATCGGGGCGGAGCACTTACCCAAAGGGAGAATGCCTCCAAGTCTACGTACTTCGACCCGGCACGCCCCCTCCGTACAGCAGTTGGCTAGAATGCTGAGCGCCAAATCCAGCGTCTTGCGCAGGCGCACTGGCATCGAAGGAGTCAAAGGCGACTCCGCAGCGGGGGCGGGGCCAGGGGAAGGACCGGCTGACGCAACCGACGAAGGGGCGGAGCCAGAGCCTGCTTGGGACGGGGCGGGGCCCGCAGCAGCCGTTCGGCGTAGCAGAGCGAGGAGGGGGCGGAGCCCGCCGCGTGCCCGGAAGCGCTCAATTCCCTCTGCTGCCTTGATGTGGCGCGTGCGAAGAGCTAAGAGCGCGCGGCCCAGGGGTGTCTCGTTGGTAGCTGGGTCCTTTCCCCAGCCCGGCCCCTCCCCGGCCGCCGCCGTGAGTTGCGCGAGGCAAAACGAGAGCGAGTCCGTAAGGGCCGGTCTCGCAGCCGCCATCTTGGCCCGGGCCTAAGGCTCCGCCCCGCGTCTCGCCGGTTCTCTGAGAGAGCGGAACTGGAAGAGAGGGGCGTGGCCAGGCTGCTCCTCTGAATAGCGCCGCCGCAGTTATCATGCGAGTCGGAAGTTGAGGTTCTAGATTCTGGACAGAAGACATGGCGAGAACCGTATTTATGTGTGAAAGTAAGAGGGCGTGTCCGGTGCATGCTGGGATATGTAGTCAGCCCCACCTTAGAGCAGTTTGAAATGGGCTTAAGAGTGAGCTGTTGCTTCTAGAACTATAGGTGCTGTCCTGGGCTGCCCAGCGTGACTTAGCTACTTCGCTCCCCGTACGTCCTTGTCAGCGACCGCCTTTCCTCGTTCAGATTTTATTGGCAACCCCCAAGCGCGGTGGCCTAGGGTCCCGAAACCGGACTGATTAACTCATAGAACTCCAAGCTTTCGTTAAGTGATTGAGAGAGTTAAACCTACCGAGAAAGTTCGCTGCTGCTTCCTAGAGCAGCTCGGGCTTGTAGACCTTTCCGTTTCCGGTGCTGGCCTCCAAGCCCCCAGTGTCTTTTCTCCAGCTGAGCTGAGTGAGTGGCATTTCGGAGACCGAGCGCTCTTCGCCCGCAATGGAACTTGCGGCGCCAGAAGCGGCTAGGGAGAATCCAGATGGGGTGAAGCTGCTGTTGAACCGGACATCAAAATTCCCGGGAGCCCTCAAGTCGCCCCTCGATTGCGAGGCTGAGCTGCAGGAGTGCCCTCTCCTGGCGCGGCCGGAGCAACCAGCTGCCGGGGCAAAGTTGCTGGAGCAGCAGTACCTATATAGGTCAGGTTCCGGCCCTGAAGAAGAAGCCTTTGCCAAGACCAATGATCCTATAGTCCCCAAAGCTTTCAGGTGCCGCAGTTGTGGGCTGACTGTAGCCAGCCTCTCTGACCTCATTCACCATCAAAGCAGCCATGGGTGTGACCGGCCTTACAGCTGTCCAGAGTGTGACAAAAGCTTCCGGCGTGGCTCAGATCTGGTTAAGCACTACAGGGTGCACACTGGTGAAAAACCTTACCCTTGCCCAGAATGTGGCCGTTGCTTCAGTCTCAGCTCTAATCTCACTAAACACCGGCGTTCTCACTCAGGTCTCCGGCCTCATAAGTGCATGGAGTGTGGGGAGGCCTTTGGCCGCAGTGCAGACCTAGCAAAACACCAGAGGGTGCACACTGGGGAGAAGCCCTATGCTTGTGCTGAGTGTGGTAAGACTTTCAGGGTGAGCTCCAACCTGATTCAGCACCAGCGTACTCACACTGGTGAGAAACCCTACCGCTGTGGACTCTGTGGCAAGAGTTTCAGCCTGAGCTCTAACCTTTTACAGCACCAACGCTGTCACACAGGTGAGAAACCCTACTTCTGTGCCTGGTGTGGAGACAGCTTTGGGCGCAGTTCCTATCTGCTGGAACACCAGCGTTCACACACAGGCGAGAAGCCCTACAATTGCTGTGAGTGTGGCAAGAACTTCACCAACAGCTCAAACTGCCTAAGGCACCAGCGCACTCACAATGGAGAACCGCCTTTCAGGTGTCTTGAGTGTGGACGTGGCTTTAGCGAGAGCACCATGTTCATTGAACACCAGCGCATTCACTTGAGCCAATGACAGGCCTTTCCAGAATATGGCAAAATCTTACACCACAGCTTCATTAATGTTAACACATGGGCAAAAAGTCCTAGAAGTTTCCTGGTTGCAGCTAGTATTTTGTGGACAATACCAGCATATCCACGCAAACCAAAGACCTTACATTTGCAGCAAGTGTGCCAGGGGCTTCAGGCAGATTTCCCACTTGCTCTTCTACCAGGTGACCCACAGTCGCAAGAAGACTTCCATCTGCTTGTAAGGTGGCAAGGCCTTTGCCCATAAACTCCCAACCTTGTCTAGCACCAATGGATTACCAAGAGGGGAGCTTCTGCAGACATCCCCTGGCTTCAATTTTAATCCAGATTTTGTTTCTGGGTTTGGTCCAGCCCTGAGAAGCCTGCAGGAACCAGGGTTTTTAAGCAGACCCCTTTTCTGAATCCCTTAGATGGTTTAATTAAGGGCCAATAATAGGACTCACAATTGCCACCTGGATTGAGCCAGGAACCCCAGGCTAGAGCATAGCACTAGAGCTGTGGCTACTACCTTCAAAGAGACAAGATCTTGGGGGGGGGGGGGGGGGAAGGTCCTGCTGTTCCATGAAATTATATTCAGAGTAATATCCATTAGCTAGAGGGAAGTTTTAGATGTCCAGAGCCAATAACCTTAACCCAGCTGCTTTGAGATAGATTAACCATAACCAAAGCAACAACAGCCAGGACGGTGGTGGGACACACAGAGGCAGGCGGATCTCTGTGAGTTGAGGCCAGCCTGGGCTACAGAGCGAGTCCAGGACAGGCACCAAAACTACACAGAGAAACCCTGTCTTAGAAAACCAAAAAAAAAAAAAAAAAAAAAAGGCGTGTGCCACCGCCGCCCGGCCCAAATGTATTTCTACTGCTAAAATTAGTGTATATGAGAGTTGGAAGGTTTCCCAAAGCACCACATAATCTTTGATCAGAGCACAGTCCAAGCAGGGACTGCCTGTTTGCCTGAGAGGCATGGACTAACCCTTTTAAGGTTGAGGATGGAGCTTTTTGTTTCAAAGACTTAGTAACTCCTTTGTGACAGTCCTTTCATCCTTAACTGCAAACTCCGTGTCCCCTGCCCTCCAGTTTTGCTGCCGTTTATTTAGCTTGCTGCATCTAGAACTGTGTGTATAGAGTAAGAAGCTAAAGAGGAAGAAATCAAGTTACCCAGCCTCAGTTTTGTTCTTCCTAGCTGTGTGACCCATTACCTCTTTTGGGTCTCAGTTTCTTCATCTATGAAACATGCAGTCTACCTCACCAGGCTGTGAAGATTCCATGAATATACCTACCTTCATGAAGTACCTGGTTAGGAGAATGGCCTCAGTTCTCCTCAAGTCTGGAGTCCTGTTGGTTGCATCATTCAGAAAGCATCATGGCAGCTCACGGATCAGCCCCTAAGATTACAGAAATGAACTAGACACTCCTGGAGTAGACTATTGTCCCATAAAGGCAATGGATCAGTAATAAGAGATGCTGGCATTGGAGAAGGGTTTTTGTCGCCTGGAGCAAATCTGAAAGGTGTGACCCAGGTGATGTCTAATGAACAGCTCTGGCTCCTCAGGATGGGTAAAGGAGTAAGTTACTAAAGAAATGATTCTTGATGTGTTCCCATCAACAGCACTTCAAAAAACCCAACCCAAGGTTTGAGTTGACTACCTGAGCATAGCACATACACAGTTGGCACTCAATAAATAGTTATGATTGGGTTTTGTTGATACTGCTTACTGTTGACCTTTGGCTCTGTTACAGTGAGTGAGTATAAATGTTCTACCCATACCTGTGTATGTGTGCTAAGCATATGGCACAGGTGAGTATTGAAGCAAAATTTCTTATGGGAGTTGAAAGCTGACTTCTCACATAGCAGATAACCCCTGGGTGTACTCTCTTAACTCCAGAAAATAACAAAACAAAATTTCCTGACCAAACATAGAAGCAGATCTCAGAAGCAAGAGGGATGGGCTTAATCCAACAGATAGCATTATCCAAGTATGTGACCAGCTTTTAGGCCAGAAAGCCAAACATTTGTCTGGCCCTGTCTGTGTATGTTTAAACTGATAGAAAATTTCAATCAAACTGCACATTCAAATTTAGATTTCTAGTTTTTCTGTTTGTATAGTTAAAGAAAAGATAAATCCATCAATATTTGATCTTTTTTAGGATTTATTTTTATGTGTCTGTGCTGAGGTGAGTTGGTGTGCACCATCATGGCCAGAAGGGATTGGATTCCCTGGGACTAGAGTTATAAGCATTAATAGCCTGATGTTGGTGCTGGGAACCAAACTCAAGTCCTCTGCAAGAGTGGTAGGCATTCTTAACTGCCCGCCCAACATAAGATTTTTTTTTTTTTTTTTTTTGGTTTTTTGAGGCAGGGTTTCTCTGTGTAGCTTTGTGCCTTTCCTGGAACTCGCTTTGGAGACCAGGCTGGCCTCAAACTCACAGAGATCCGCCTGCCTCTGCCTCCCGAGTGCTGGGATTAAAGGCATGCGCCACCACCGCCCAGCCCCAGCATAAGATCTTATAGAACAATGATTTGTTTGGTAAGGGCTGTCCCATCATTCTTGTATTTCTGACTCAACATGAGGACTTTTTCTTACTCTTCTGACCCTACAGAAGCCACTGGGGATAACACCCAAACACTACCATGTATGAGAAGGACCCTTCATAGATTGAAGCCGAAATGTCCCCTTTACCCATTTGTATCCTCATCCTACTATTTCCGTCCTCCCCCCTCCCCTAACATTGCTCAGAGACTGACCTGTCCTCCTCCTGAGTCTGCCTATCCCCTCACCCAGGTTATCACTCCTTAAGCCTCTTTCTCTGAAAGCGGGCATGGGCAGAGCACACAAACTAGTCAAGGCAAACTCCTGTGTGCCTTTGTTAAGAGGTCTAAGTATTGAACCCTGGTTGATTCACTGAGAGGTGGTGGGAATCCAGCAAATACAGAAGCACTCTATTAGGGCTTAAGTAAATCTGGGAGTATTGAAGTGGCCCTTGGAATAGCCCAGCTCCTGTCTAGTTCTAGACATGGGATAGAGTAAAATTCTGGCATCAAGTTGTCTTGTGTGATCCTGATGGGGTATACAGAGACCCATGTGCCTGGCAACTGGAGTCCAGACTACCTGTAAGCTCATCTGCTGTGGCAGGACTTCTGGGAGGTCTACTTACTCTCTTCCCAGGTCATTCCCCTCCGTGTACTGTAGGAGGGCAAGGCCTGGATCTATGCTGTCCCCGATGAGTCTCAACAATCCCACTATGGGACAGACAGCCCTGAAGAAAGGCCGCATGATGTACAGTTTCTCTTCTCTAAGATTTGGGTCCATCTCCTAAGTGAATTGAGGGGAAAAGCCAGTTTGAGGAGAGGATGAGGGTGGGCTGACTTAGGGCAGACATCCATCTCTTATCTCAGTCATGTAGCTGCAGGGCTAAGGATCCCAGAGCTCTTAATTTCAAGGGGGTGGAGACAGGTAAATCTCCAGACATGCTCAGATTCAGGGACCAGTTGGAAACAGAATGGTGGGCAGATGCAATGCCAGCAAAAAAGTTTCATGCCTGACATGGTGGTACATACTTTTAACCCCAGTACTCCAGGAGACAGGCAAGCAGGCAGATCTCTTGTGTTTGCAGCCAGCCACTATGGTTCACCTAGTGAGTTTCAAGCCAGCCAGTGAGACCCTATACTTAAAAAGAAGAGAGAGACGAGAGAGAGAGAGAGAGAGAGAGAGAGAGAGAGAGAGAGAGAGAGAGAAGTGGCTTCAAGACTTTCTGTTCCAAGCTACCCACGAAGGGTAGGGTTGAAGTCTTTAGCAACAAGTCCAGGAACATGGTATACCATATGTTGTAGTAAGATGTTCCTGTCATCCCATCCCTCCTGTGTGTGATGATCTGAGTACATCAAAAGTGATTCTGGCTTAGGGCCTGGACCTCAAAGTTTTTGTTTCTGACTCCTGAGCAGAGCCTTGAGTCTCCTTTCTTCCCATTGCTTCCCCCACATAGCTGCTCAGAGTCATGAACATGTTGCTTCTTATCTCCCTCAACCCTAGACCCACATCATTCCCATACCACAACTGTTAAGAGTTGGAAGGTTGGAGAGAGGAGGAAGTTCCATTTGGGACCATGACTGTGAAGAATGTGGGAATGAGAACTTCCATTCAGCATGGAAAGATGCTGTTAGCAACAGCTCTGGCCCAGAGGCCCACAGTATTTCCTGAGGTATTGACCACAAGAAGCCATGATTGGAATTGCAATATACATAGCTCAGAAACACTGTCACCAGAGAACCCTAGGGTCCTTTTCTGGACATGGTCCCATGTAGCAGGCTTTCTTGGACCACCAGACCCCAAATCATGACATGGAGATTTATTAATTATGAATGCTCAGCCTTAGCTTAGGCTTATTTCTAGCTAGCTTTTTTAAACATAAATTATCTCATTTCTATTAATCTATGTTCTGTCCTGAGGCTTATTTACCTCATGTACATACTGTCCATCCTGCTTCCTCTGTGTCTGTCTGGCTGACACCCCTTTTCTCTCTGTCCATCAACCTTGCCTATCCCTCCTCTGCCTAGCTATTGGCCATTTAACTTTTTTTTTTCTTTTTTTTTTTGGTTTTTCGAGACAGGGTTTCTCTGTGTAGCTTTGTGCCTTTCCTGGAACTCGCTCTGTAGACCAGGCTGGCCTCGAACTCACAGAGATCCGCCTGCCTCTGCCTCCCAAGTGCTGGGATTAAAGGCGTGTGCCACCACCGCCCGGCTTAACTTTTTATTAAACTAATCAGGTGCCTTAGGCAGGCAAGGTAAAACAGCAACACATCTTTACATAATTAAACAAATGCAGCATAAACAGAAGCAACACACCTTTACATAATTGAACATGTAGCATAAACAAATGCAACACATCTTTACATAGTTAAACAATTATTCTGTAACACAAACACATTTTTATTTAGTTAAACAAATATTCTATTCCACAACAGTTCCACTCATACAATCTACCTCTCTTCATCAGTGTCAGCTCTAAACTGACCACAGAGTCTTCTAGGATGTCCTAGAAGATACCAGAGTGACAGGATAAAAAAAGACTGAAGTTGTCTTGCCATGTGAGGCCTCTCTAGGTTTACTAACATCCACTGCTCTCCAGGGATGGAGTAAAGGAGGCCTCGACTCTACATATTCAAAAAGCAGGCTCCTCCAAGTACATTCACCCAAGCTCATGCCCTCAACTCAGGAAAGACTTCGTTCATTTTTTTAAATGTAACATCAAAGAGTGAATGAAATGAAGTCTAGTGTCTAAACCAATGAACTTGCTTTAAATAGCAAGTTAGGAGAAAAGAAAGTTCTCTTCTTGTTGATTTCTTCCTGCTCCCTTTCTCTCCTTCCTGAACAATTTGATATAAAGGTATCTAGCTAGGGGCAGACAGCAAAATATGCATCTTCTGTGGGCAGTAATACATGGCAAGGTGAAGAGTGTCCATCCACATGACAGATGCACTGACATAGGTTAGGGAGCATTAACCAAGTAAGGAGATGACGGGGGCAGTAAGGGACTGTTAAACTGGCCACTGATAAAATAACACATACAGTAAGGAATAAGGAAAGAGATAAAAGGAAGAAACCTAGGTGGTTCTTGAGTTGGATTAGAACTAAAGATATTAGTAGACAGTATTGTCAGTAATGTACAGATACAGAAATAAGTAGAGATGTAGGTGTGTATACACACCTTTGTGCCTGTGTTCAGATTTTCCCTAGCTCTGGATGGTCTTGAACCAGTGCCATCCCAGTAATAAAGGGTTTAGGGTAATAAAAATCAAGGAAGGCTGACACAGTGTTTTAGAATAATGAAGACTAAAGAGACGTGGTCATTAATGCAACAGGTACTATACCCTTTTTGCTATAACAAATAGTTTAGGTTAACTGGGAAAGATGGAGTAGAATCTAAGGTTTTTGATGACAGTCAAGTTCCTGATTTTGATGGTTGTAAGGGAATGGTCTTGTATGTAGAAAATAAAGTATTTGGAGGTTGTAGTTAGGTAAGGGAATGGTCTTGTATGTAGGAAATACATACTACAGAGGTTGTGCATTAGGACATTATTCTCAAATCATGCAGGGAAATTTTTGCATTGGATTTTAATCACTTTTGTAATTTTCTGCTTTAAAATAATTTTAGAGAAAAATCAGTCTGAACAGGAGGAAGTGGGAGGAGGATCACAAGTTCAAGGCCAGCCTGGGTTATATCGTGAGAGCCTGTGTAGCAGGCTTTCTTGGACCACCGAGCCATGTCCCAAATCATGACATGGAGACTTATTATTAATTATGAATGCTCAGCCTTAGCTTAGGCTTGTTTCTAGCTAGTTTTTTTCTTTAACTTAAATTAACCCATTTCTATTAACCTATGTGTTGCCCTGAGGCTTATTTACCTCATGTACATACTGTCCATCCTGCTTTCCTGCTTCCTCTGTGTCTGTCTGTGTGGCCCCTGATGGGCTGGCTGACACCCCTTTTTCCCTCTGCCCACCAGCCCTGCCTATTGCTCCTCTGCCTAGCTATTGGCCGTTCAACTTTTTATTAAACTAATCAGGAACCTTAGGCAGGCAAGGGAAAACAACAACACATCTTCACATAATTAAATGTAGCATAAACAAAAGCAACATATCTTTACATAGTTAGACAATTATTCTGCAACACAAACAAATATAACACATCTTTACTACATAGTTAAAC